TCTATGTTCTGTGTTCTTCCTAAGAAAGACTCCCATTTCTTTCCCTGGGACTAAATGTTTCTTTTTCAATGCAGGCTACATTTGACATTTGCCTGTTTCATGACAAAAGTGGAAAGGAAGAAGGGAGCATTATATTTGAGAGGGACTCTGCAATTTATGAAAGCATTTTTTAGTTACAAAAGGACAATATTAGCAGGTTACATAGGCTGCTGTCACTAATGATGTGATATATACACTTGTCCATCAGATAATCCAAGGTCATACACCAACCAATCTGACAAGAAACAGTAATGTTAGGAGCATTGTGTGGGCCAACAAAAACAAAACTTTTAATAAGGCAGAATAAAGAATACCTGCTATGGTGCTATGGAAGGGTTTGATCTGAACTTTCTTCTGCTAGCAGAAAACTATCTTAGAAACTCTGGATTCAACCACTTATTTAGTATGAAATGGTTTTGAAACTAAATTTGATTATTGTCTTCTTTGCTTCTCTTATTAATAATTGAATTATCTAAATGAACTATTCCAGACACAAAGGACAAATATTTCATGATTCCACTTACATGAGGTACCTAGAGTAGTCAAATTCATAGAAACAGAGAGTAGAATGGTGGTTGCCTGGGATTGGGTGGGGGGGGGGGGATGACAAGTTGTTCTTTAATGGGTACAGAGTTTTAGTTGGGGAACATGAAAAAGTTCTGGAGATGGATGGTGGTGGTGATAGCACAACAATGTGAATGCCATTGAACTGTATGCTTAAAAGTGGTTAAAATGGTAAATTTTATGTTATATATATTTTACACAATAAAAACATCTTAAAACAGTTTTGAATTAGGTGTTTTGTTCATTTGGGTTCAATATTGTTCTTTTGGATATGATGTGAAGTTCAACTAGAATTGTACAAAACCTACTTTCAAGGAGCATGCTCTGGGAAAAGGTAACACATAGGTAGAAATGCAGGCAGTGACAGTGTCCCTGCATTTTCACTGTAGGAAAGGTCAAGGAGGATGTTTAGTCTTTTTAGGTACATTCGCCTTTAGGTTAGTAACCTCTTGGGGCGCCTGGTGGCTGTCAGTTAAGCGTCTGTCTTCACTCAGGTTGTGATCCCAGTGCCCTGGGATCAAGCCCCACATTGGGCTCCCTGCTCAGCGTGGAGCCTGCTTCTCGATCTGCCCCTCCCCCTGCTCCTGCTCTTTCTCTCTCTCTCAAATAAACAAAATCTTTAAAAAAAAAAAATTTTTTTTTTTTTAAAGATTTTTTTTTTTAAATTTATTTATTCATGAGAGACAGAGACAGAGAGAGGCAGAGGGAGAAGCAGGCTCCCAAGGAGCAGGGAGCCCGATGCGGGACTCCATCCCAGGACCCCGGGATCATGAACTGAGCCGAAGGCAGACGCTTAACCATCTGAGCCACCCAGGCGCCCCTAAAAAAAAAAAAAAAATTTTAGTAACCTCTTACCAGGCCTGAATTTGGCCTCAGAACATCTGAGTCTCAGAGGCCAAAGTCTACAAAACAAGTTGAAAAATACAGTATTCCCCCTCTTATCCCTGGGGGATACATTCCAAGACCTCCAGTGAATGCCTGAAACTGTGATAATACCAAGCCCTAAACATACATATCTATGATAAATTTTAATTTATAAGTTAAGTGCAGTAAGAGATTAACAAAAATAACTAATAATAAAATAGAAAAACTGTTATGCTATAATAAAAGTTATGTGAATGTGGTGTCTGTCTCTCCCAAAATTTCTTATTGTACTATACACACCCTTCTTCTTCTTGTAATGATGTGAAATGAGAAAATGAAGTGAGGTATATGATGTAGGCATTGTGACATAGCATTAGATTACCCTTGACCTTCGGATATTATGTCAGAAGCAGGATCATCTGCTTCTGTACTGTAGTTGACCATGGGTAACTGAAACCATGGAAAGTTAAACTACAAATAAGAGGGGACTACCGTAATAATAACCCAACATTAACACTTATTGAGTACATATTAAGCACCAGGCTTAAGGGCCAGACAGGATTGAGGTCAAGAAAAAAGTTTTAGGCAGATTTACAAATATTATATATTAGCTTACTATCCCCAACTCACTATTTTGCTCTTTAAAATAAAGCCCCACACATCCCATTTATTTCAGAATTAAGAAAACAGAGACACACCTCTGTGCCAGTAACCATGCCAAAGAGTGTGTCAGCCAATAATATTTGTGAAACTCACCATGCAGCTGACAGGCCCACATATTATGAAGTAGAAATTTTCGGAGAGGGTACATTTTAATTCAATAAAATTTTCTATGAAAGAAAAGCTTGCAGGTATAGACACCTTTTTTAAAAAAATTTTTTATTCTTATGTTAATCCCCATACATTACATCATTAGTTTTAGATGAAGTGTTCCATGATTCATTGTTTGTGCATAACACCCAGTGCTCCATGCAGAATGTGCCCTCCTCAATACCCACCACCAGGCGAACCCATCCTCCCACCCCCCTCCCCTCTAGAACCCTCAGTTTGTTTAGACACCCTTTTATTTAGAAAGTCTATTCTCTTAGAAAGAATCTGGTTCAGTTATAATGGTGGGGAAAATAATACAAAAAAACAACAGTTCAAAACTGACAGTAAATTCACCTCAAAGCAAAACTATTTCTTTGCTTGGTTAATGTGGCATAAGAGAAAGCCTGACTAGCAGGTATAATTAAAGTATGAATCACAGGGTAAGTCATGAGTAAACCTGAGAGCACCTATAGGAAAAAAAAAAAAGTCTATTATAACATACTAAACTTTAGAGACTAAAGAATGCAGGGTAGGAGGAAAATCCTAATTCCATGTAAATGCAATTATGGGCCTGATTGGAAACACCGATAACGGATGGCGTTGGTACATTATCGGTCCAGCATCTGTGTGAGGCTCTGTAACACAGCATATTCCACTTCATGTATTATAGGTACTCATTCTCCATGTTTTTTATTCTGAAAATTGCTTGAGGTCAGGTACTATGCTTTGCTTTGTTTATTTCTCCATGTAAATTACTTCTCTACTCAGATCCCAATAATGTAGACAGTAGGCATAAAACATGCAATTACACACTTGAAAGGGTGAATGATAACCCATATCTTAAAGTCTAGAATAATTCTGTCCTGACATATAAGACTTTAAAAAAAATGAAAATTGACATCCAACATATTAAATGCTACTTATCAAAGATTGTTGATACATTTTTAAAGAATTAATCATGGGATTTTTATTTAATGAAAAACAGGAAAAGGTTGTTATATTTTATCCTATTTCATATCTCAGCAGTTGGCATTGGATTTAGTTGCTTGGAGAAACAATATGGGAAAAGTTGAAAGGAAACTATTTGTTTGGCCTTACTTGTTTTTTTGTCTTTCAGGCTGTGTGATGAATAGATATAAAATCACCTCAGGTGAAAAACAGCCCCACTGCAGCTTGGGTCATTCCCTTGACTTAAAAATAGCATTATTGTCCCCCATCCAACCCCACTTACCCAAATGAGGAGCATTTAACTGACAGACATATAGGTTAGACACTGGACTTAAAATAACTAATGATTGGAGATTCTGCAGTATTTAGAGGTATAATGATACAAATATGGATGGAAGGTTTTTAAGTCCAATTTCCTTGGCTCAGAAGAATTTAAATCAAAGCCATCAAATATATTGTTTACATCATCTTAGTTCAAGGTTTATGTACTATTTTTAATGTTCATGTGTACTTCTTAAAATTTTTTTGAAACTAAAAGACTTGACAGTCTCTGAGACTTAATTGGGAAAAATGTAAAGCACATTAATGGAATTTTTCCCATGATCTGTGGAAGAGTTTTTTTTAACAGATGGCTCACATGGACAAAGCAATGAAAACACAGAAATTAAAAGCAGATCCTTAAGAAAAATAACTGAGTTCTCAGAAATACTATAGATGATGGCAGGACTAGATGTAAGGCACCACCTTCTTTTGCTGTCAAGGTTTGGAGAGAACAGAAATTTATTAGGTGATCGTCTATCAGGGAAGGGGTAACTGACTCTTGGTAGGAATTAACTATTCATTTGGAACCCCAGCCAATTTCAACACTCTGAAAATCCTCATGCTTGTAGGATAATTCCATACAAGTGCCAATAAAATATACAGTATTGTGATCTAGGTAGTCTTCTAGAAGTAGGAACACCTAAGTCCCAGGTGCGTAGTTAGGGGGATGGGGATGATTTAAAATCTTCCCATTTTCACAGCAACTTGGAAAAACAACAAACATCCCAAGGCCCATGAAAGCTTTTCATTTGCAGTATAAAAACTGACTTTCGGGCGCCTGGGTGGCTCAGTCGGTTGAGCGACTGCCTTCGGCTCAGGTCATGATCCTGGAGACCCCGGATCGAGTCCCGCATCGGGCTCCCTGCTCAGCGGGGAGTCTGCTTCTCCCTCTGCCCTCTTCCCTCTCGTGCTCTCTGTCTCTCATTCTCTCTCGCAAATAAATAAATCTTTAAAAAAATAAAATAAAATAAAATAAAAACTGACTTTCTTGGATGAAGGAATTGAGCGGTGGGAAAGAGGCAGGAAAACTTTTCAACCTGGAATTTACATGCATTCCGTGGAGACATGAAATAAAATCTAAACTAACGCTAGAAAGTAGCATCTTCCAATCACGCTTCAAAATGATTTCTCAAACTTTAAGGAAAATTAATGTTGGTTTCTCTCCCTGACAATTTTTAGGGAGTGGGTGGCGAGGGGGAGGGGTAGGGGAGGGACGTTGGGAGACTGCGATCCTTTTGGGGCGTGGAGGACCCCAAAGGGTCGCCAAGGGCTAGTCAGATCCAGGTGCTGGGGAGGAGACAGAGTCGACGCCCCAGTCGAAGGCGCGAGCGCTACTGCGCCGCAGCCTCGCGCAGCCCCGGAGCCTGGTGCGGGCGGGTGGGGGGCGGTGGGAGGCGGTGGGAGGGTGACTGGGAGAAGGGGCGGGGTGGCGTGGGGTGGGAGTGCGACGGCGGGAGGAGGGTCTCCCAGCCGGGCCGATTCGCAAGCTCTCTGAGCCTGCGTCCGCCTAGAGGGAGGGCTTCCCTGGCCCGGCCAGAGTGGCTCAAAGCACAAACGACTGTCAAGAGTGTAGGCGAGCGGAGGTGCCGGAAGTGTCTGCGCGCCGTGAGATAGCTTTCCTGCTCCGGCTGCGGCCCGGAGCCTCCACCGCCTCGGTGTTGGCAGCGACGATGCGCCCTGATGACAACGACCTGAGCGGACTCGCGCCTCGGCCCACCGCTAGAGTCTGCACACTCCTCACCGCAGGAGAAGCCTGAGTCCAGAGGCGTCCACGCGCCGCGGGAGCCCTGTGCTGGCGGCGCGGCGCTCGGGGCCCATTTCCTTTGCTCCGTCCGCTGGCGTCTTGGCCGGTTCCCCGCGATCGCGCGTCCTCAGCGCCGGCCGCGGTCGCCGGCTGTTCCCGCCCTCACCGCCGGCCGGGACGTGCCCCGGGTGGCTGCTGGTAGCGTCTGTGCCATGGGGCTGCCTACTCTGGAGTTCAGCGATTCCTACTTGGACAGCCCGGATTTTAGGGAGCGCCTGCAGTGTCACGAGATTGAACTGGAGCGAACCAACAAGTTCATCAAAGAGCTCATTAAGGACGGCTCTCTGCTCATTGGGGCGCTGAGGAGTAAGTGGAGCTGGCAGGGGCGGGAGGAGAGGGCGCAGGGATGTGGCGACTTCCCGCGGGGCGCGGGTCTCGGGGGTGGGATGAAGGACGCGGGGCTTCTTTTGTTTGAATGGGTTTGGGACAAGAGCTGAAGAGCTCCCCTGCTGGTGGCAAACAAAGTTTGTGCTTAGGTGTTCTTTACTTACATACTTGAATGTCTGCAGAGAAGGGAAAGTTACCCACTGCAGCGAGGAGTAGATCCTGAAGAAAGTTGCTCGAAGTCATCTTTTTTTATAACGCTCCTGAAAAATGTTGGGAGACTATTGGCCCTTTTTTGTTGGTTGCTTTGTAATCTTACTGTGCCTAGTCTGAACACTTTTTAAAAAGGTCCTTAAGGTGGGTTTCAAGAGTTTGGTTTAAGGATAAAATGAAGCTAGTTTGTTTAGTGATACTCAAAGTAATTTCTTATGTGTATCAGTGACTCTTCACCGGGCACAATAGATCATTGAATTGCCTTTTAAAAAAATGTACATTTGCAATTTTGCCATGTAGTAGGATGATCGAGATGATCGAAGACAGCATGGCACCAGTGGATTTAATCTCTTTACAAGTTTTTTTGTGCGTCTTAATTTTTGGTTTGTATTGTAAATCTGATGTCGGTCGAGTCCCTGGGATTGAAGTTCAGTGGTTAAAGGCCAACCAGAATTTCTGATGATTATTTAAGTAAACTATCCTTAGGGATTTTTCCCACTTCCTTTCCCGAGCAGATTTTCCTTACTACCTCCTGAGTCTGCTGGATCTTCACGTTCAAGTACTTAAGACCTAGGAGAGTCTTGGTAAAAGAAACTCGAGTTTGTCTTTAAGAAAACGGAGTGATCGGCCTTCGGCTCAGGTCATGATCCCAGGGTCCTGGGATCTAGTCCCGCATGGGGCTCCTTGCTCAGCCGGGAGCCAGCTTCTCCCTCTGCTCCTCCCCCACCCCCACTTATTTTCGCTCTCTGACAAATAAATAAATAAATAAAATCTTAAAAAAAAAAAGAAAAGAAAATGGGAGTGATTTAACTGATAAGGTTTAATTTGTTACCTTTCCCAGGACGTATTTGCATCTTATTGGAGATTTCTGAAGGTTTTAGCTATTGACATGAAGCCCTGGACTCTCTGGCCTCTAATGGCTGGGTGAGTGAGGTATTTTCATTGCATGGAGAGCCTTGGAGCATCTAGAAATACCCAGGGCACATGTAGTAGAACCATCATCGAGTGTATCAGTTGGAAGGTCAGTAACAACATAATGGGGATGTATTTGCTTGAAACTGAGCCATTAGCATCTGATCTGTATTTTGAAGCATGTATTAATGGTAAGGATGGGGCTTATCAAACCTGTCTTAGAATTAGTGTGCTCCCGAATCCTTTTTTAACCATCCCCAGTGCTAAAACATTTATGTATTACTTGTGCTACTTTAAACTAGGATAAAATATGATTTATGCCTACATTCACTTAATTTCTGAATTTGAGGTTAGTACTGATAACAGTATTTACTGTATTTATCTGTGAAAAAATAACTTATCTGCAGTTCTTTTCATCCTGTGCATACACAAATGTGAACTCTCCTTCCTTCTGGTTTGCAGTTTCTGGTTGGAGGGTCTCAGGACTGGCCTCTTCGCATTTTAGCCTCTCCCAAGAGTTTCCCCATCTCAGTGCTAAATGCCCAGCTGCCCCTTGTGGAGCCGCCACCTGGTCTACAAAGTGACATTTTCTCCTCACTCCGCTCTTGGGAGATCAATTTTAGTGTTTCAAAAGTTGAAAACACTTCCATAGCTGTGATAAAAGCCCTGAAAATGCATATTATTTTACTAGTGAGATTATGTACTTTATTACGATTTTTGAATCTAGTCTTGCAAAAATCAGGTGATTGCCATCCTGATAAGTTTGTTCTTCCATATGTAAAGTGGAGAAATCTTGAGAGTGTAAGTTCCTTGAACATACAGAACCCGTCTCATTAATTTGGTCTTACGCACTTAAATATACAACCTGCTGTCTTTCTAGTATTCTTAGGTTTGTGATGAGAGTGCATTATTTTAATGCTTGGTTATTGTTTATCTCATTACGGGAGGAAAACGTATTGCTCCTTTATTCCCAGCATCGGTTGCCAAATAAAGATTTGGAGTAGAGGAACTCTTGAAGTCACGTGATGGCCCTGCTTTTTTCCTCACCATGCCACCTTCTGTCCCTTGGGGAGGATGCTAGGCTGTAAGCGGCTAAGTCCAGTAAGTGGACTAAGTCCACTTAGCCCTCTGAAGTTGCTCAGCTAGGATAAGAGTGTGCCTAAAGGACTTTGAAGCCTGCTTTTGGTTCTATCCCAGAATCACCAAGAAGCCCTCCTTTCCCCAGTTCTGTCCCTTGTTGTTCTTCTCTGCCAGAGGAAGTCTTTATCTTCCCTAATTTTATGCCTTTCCATTCTCTGTACCTACTGTTTTAGTAAGTGTACCCATTACCCAGTTCAGTTTTATTTTTTGCACTTTGCTGTTATTGTCATTAATAATTAATGGTTTCTTAATACAGCCTTCCTGAAAGGACAATCATCATGCATTTCTAAGCATCTTATATTATTTCCATCCTAGTTCATAGCTTTTCTGGTGAGAATTTTGGCATGCACTCTTGGCTAATACATGCATAGCTGTTTCAATAGGAGTCACAAATGCTCTTTGATTTTTCCTTCAGGATGTAGGTATTGTGAGAATTAATAAAAGGGAAACCACACTGATGGCAGGCTGGGCATGTTAGGAGAGGCTGGTAGGTACCACTCAATGTCAATTACAGGAAGTTTTGTCAGTTACAGACCCCTAATAGAAGAATCTCAATAGGAGGGAATCATCAGTTATAGGCCCCAACAGGGAAAGATGTACATTGCATTTCCTACAAGAAATCAACTACCCCTGCAACTCATCTAATGAGAAACCATCATCACTTTGAACTCCTGCTTTTCTCCAGTGGACTTTTATTCAAAACAACCCCTCTTAACTTCCTCTTCCTTCTCCATAAAATAACATTGCTCATTGTTTTTTGGACTTAGCTGTGGTTTTGCCTAGCTTGCTTGTCCAGGATTGCAGTTCTGTTACTCCCAAATAAACCCATTTTGCTGGTAAAATTACAGGCAGTTTTATTTTTAAGGTTAATAGTTTCTTAGTAGAGTATTTGGAAGGGTCCTTATAAAGGAAAACCCTGACTAGATGATTTCAATTTTAAATAATATAAGTAAGATACTTAACATTTTTAAAATGAATGATTGCACATCCAATCTGAGAAAATGTGTGACAGCTCATTAAGTGGATTGACATAGACCTGAATTTAAATTCTGGTGCTGGTAAATGCTGTGTGGTAATTGGCAAATAACTTAACCTCTCTAGGTCCTACTTTTCCTATAAAATGAGGGAAGACTATAAAAATCTTACCACTAGGATTATTTGTTCATTTTGTTACATGCTGTATAGACCTTTGGTGAGCAATATTTGAGAATATTTGATACTGGAGAATCAGGTTTTAGTTCATGCTGTGACTCAAAATTCTCTCCCTTTTTCATCAAATGTTTTTCTAGGAACTTTGTTCCTTTAACAGGTGTCTTAAAATTTGAGTTGTGAAATCATACGCTGTTTTTGCTTATTGATTTTCTTCTTTTATAGATCATATTCAAAGAAACACCTCAAAATGGCTTTCTCATGTAATTCCTCCTTTACTTTCTCTTTTCTTAATTCTTTATACTTTTGAATATTTAAATAGAGCTTTGTCCTTGCAAGAATAGACTTCCCTGGGGCGCCTGGGTGGCTCAGTTGGGTAAGTGTCTGCCTTCTGCTCAGGTCATGATGGGGTCCTGGGATCAAGCCCCATGTGTTTGGCTCCCTGCTCACTGGGGAGTCTGCTTCTCCCTATTCCTCTGCCCATCTGCCCGCTTGTGGTCTCTCTCTAATAAATAAAATCTTTTTTAAAAAAAGGAATAGACTTTCCCTCCTCCCCAAAACAGCAAAGAGCAAAAAGGAATAGACAAATAGAATTGTAGTCATTTAATTGAATTATTGGGTGGGGAGAGCATATCAACATTTTTTTTCTTCTACCCTGCCTTTTGGCATCTTGGGGCCCTCTCTCCCTCCTTCCCTCCCTCTCTCTCCCTCCTCGCTCCCTTCCTTCCTTCCTTCCCATTAAGTTTTTAATTTTAATTTCAGTATAGTTAACGTACAGTGTTAGTTTCAGGTGTACAATATAGTGATTCAACAATTCTATACATTACTCCGTGCCTGTTGTGGTAAGTGCCCTCTTTAATCCCCATCACCTATTTCACCCATTCCCCCACCCACCTTCCCTCTGGTAGCCATCAGTTTGTTCTCTATAGTTCAGAGTTTGGTTCTTGCTTTGTCTCTCTCTCTCTCTCTTTCTCTCTCTCCTATTTTTTTTGGGGGGGGGGATGTGGTATATATACACAATGGAATATTATTTAGCCATAAAAAATGAAATCTTGCTATTTGCAACAACATGGATGGAGCTAGAGAATATAAGCAAAGTGAAATAAATCAGTCAGAGAAAGACAACTATCCTATGATTTCACTCTTGGAATCTAAGAAACAAACAATTTAAGAAACAAAACAAACTTCTTTCTTATTACTAGTGCTTCCTCTCATTGCCTTAGGGTGGAATTGGCCAGCTGTCTTTTCTTCATTTAGGATAATGTTTCTCAAACCTGTGTGTCTAGGCTTCTTCTTGAGGGAAAAAAAAGTTAGTGGACCCTAATATAGATTCAGTTATTTATTATGGTAGTTAAATATATATAAGCATGAAGCAAATTCTTGTGCTTAGTCCTATAATTTTAAAAGCAAATCAACTTATGAATTAAATACAAATAATACTGTGAAACCAATAAAACTACATTTAGTTAATCTAATGGATGATGATGATTTTACTGAAAGGAAAGGAAATTTCCTCTCATATAAAGACTGTTGATAATATCTTGTGTGCTGGATGATTCATTTCTCTT